CCAGAAAGAAATTATATCAGACCGCCATCTCACCCCATATTAAAAAGATGCCATATTTTTAAAAACTGGAAGAAAGTATTTTTAACATTTTCAATCTTGCAGTGAGAAAGGTTTTCCTAAGCATGATGGAAAAACCCAGAAGCTATAAAGGGAAAGGTGACAGATTTGACAATATAAAAATGGAAAAACTGCTACATAACAAAAGACACCTGACGAGGCATACAATAAGGAGGAAACCTCTGCAGGGTATGTGACCAAAAGTTCATTTCTATAATCTGTAAATACTCCCTTCACATCAAGATTAAATCCATGACTGGTCAAAGAACACAAAAAGACAAATCATAGAAAAAGAAACACAAACAGCCAATAAACCCCTGATACAACTGTCCCACCTCACAAATAGCATTACCTCGGGGCACCTGATAGGATACGGGGTGGCTCAGTCGATTAAGAGTTCAACTCGACCTCAGCTCAGGTCTTGATCTCAGAGTCGTGAGTTTGAGCCCCATGTTGGGCTCTGAGATGGGGGTGAAGCCTACTTACTACTAATAATAACAAAAGTGAGACCTCACTTGTCACATAAGATCGGCAATGACTAAAAATATCCGTTGTTGGATTGTTGGCAAAGGCACAAAGAGATAAGCAGTGGAACACGCATTGGTGGACGTGTAGAATCGTTAACCTTTTTGGAAAGTAGTTTGCCAATGTTTATCATAGTATTTTCAAATGTTTATTTTTGAGAGAGAGTGAACACAAGCAGGGGAGGGGAAGAGAGAGGGGGAACAGAGGATCTGAAGCGGGCTCTGCACTGACAGCAACGAGCCCGGCTTGGGGCTCGAACTCACAAACCACGAGATCATGACCTGAGCCAAAGTCGGATGCTCAACCGACTAAGCTACCCAGGTGCCCTATCATAATTTAAAATAGGAATTCTAGCAATTCTACTTCCAGAAATATGTCCTAAAGAATTACATAAATATAAGGATATTCTTGACAGCATTGCTTGTAATAGGATAAAACTAAAAAATAACCTGTATGTCCAATCAGAGGGGAATAGTTAAATAAAATTATGATATATCCATGCAGAGCAATTGTTTTTAGGTTTATTTATTTACTTAGAGAGAGAGAGCGCGCGCACAAACGGGAGGGACAGAGAGAGAGAGAGAGAGGGAGAGAGAATCCCAAGCAGGTTCCACACTGTCAGCACGGAGCCTAACACAGGGCTTGATCCTACGCCCGTGAGATCATGACCTGAGCCAAAATCGAGTTGGACACTTTAGCAACTGAGCGACCCAGGCGCCTCCCCCCAACCCCGACAGAAGAATATTACGGGATTGATCACCTATCATTGTGTAACAAAATTACCCCAAAACTGAATGGCTTAAAACAGTAAACATTTCTTTTCCTGTTATTTCCATGTCAGATATTTGGGGGTGGCAGGTGGGCATTTCTGGCTCGGGACCTCTCATGAGGCTGCAGTGTCTGAAGGTTGCCCTGGAGCTGGCAGACCCTTCCTCTAAGGTGGCTCACTCACATGGCTGGCAAAGGGGTGCTGGTTGTTGGCCGGGGTTGGTTGCTGCCCAAGTGGCCTTCTCCACTGGCTGAATGTCCTCACAACGTGGTGGCTGGGGGCCCCTAAGTGACTGATCCAAGAGGGGCTACGGCTGAAACTGGGAAATTTGAAGACTGACTGGCATGTTAGTCAGGTCAGAGAGAGTGCAGGGAGACACTTGCAAAACCTCCAACAGAAATTTATGAATGGGAAGTGAGATGAGGCTGGAGAGATAAATGGAGGCCGATTCGTGGCAGTAATTCCAAGCTGTGTTAAGGAGCTTGATTTTTATATGAAGCTGGTAAGATCGCTCTGGTTATTACATGGAGGGTGGAATGAATAGACAAGGACAGGGGGCAGGGATGGAGGTCAGGCCATCAGTTAGGAGGCCATTAAAAGTGATCCTGACAAGGAATGGTAACTTGGATTAGGGGGGATGGCAATAGAGGGGGAGAAAAATCAGGGAGCTTCTGAGATATTAGGAAAAAGTCCAATAGGACTCCATGTTTAGATACGTGGATTACACAACAGGAAGGAACCACGTTTGGCTCCTGGGGTTGTGACTTGAGCAATTAGGTGAATGGGGCACATGGGATGAAGAGCAGGTTGGGGATTAGAAAAAGTTTTTAATGAGTTTGAGATGCTTACACACATGGAAACGTTGAATAGTCAGTGGCCACATGGGACCTGGAGGTCAGGGAATATATGCCTGGACATAAAAACGTATGAGCCATCAGGACATTAGTGGACAATAGAGCCATGAACCAGAGAACCGTTGCTTTGAAAAGGAAGAGTTTACAAGAGACTGAAAAGGAATGCCAGAAAGGTTAATAGGAACACCAGGAGTCTACTGTCACAGAAGATACCGCCGTGATCAACAGTGGTCACACCACTAAGCCAAGCAATTTAAAACAGAACATCGTATATCAGATAGGAAAAAGAGCGCTCTCCCTCAGTCCCAAGGTGGAGTACTTTTATAGGAAGGACGTCAATAGCATCGATGACTTCTGGTGTGGTGCTTCTCCAAGTGTGATGTACAAATAACCTGGGGACTATAGTAAAATGCAGATTCTGGCTCAGTAGGTCTCAGTAGGGGAGGGCCTGAGAGCCTGTGTTTCTAAGAAAGTCCCCGGCGATACTGATACCCCTGGCCCACAAACATTTTGAATAGCGAGGTTCTGCTGTGGCTTTCAAACTTTACTCAGCACAGACTCACACGGAGAACATTTTAAAACAGATTATTGGACCCCATCCCTACAGATTATGATTCAGTGGGTCTGGGGCAGGATCTGATAATCTGCATTTCCAACAACCTCCCTGGAGATGGTGACAATGATGCCACAGGTCCCCAAGACCACAGTTTGAATTGCACACTTCTACAAGACCACAGCTTAACTACTGCAGGCCACAACAGGGAGAAATCCATATGGATTTCAAGACATAATGCAAACAAGAAGTATTCTTGAACACCACTGGAGTCAGTCCATGACCAGAGCTCATTGAGGGCAGGGCCTGCTAGTTACCCATCACCCCCATGGTTACTGTATCAAAGCTAAGTACTCATCCATTTTTTTTTTAAATATTTTTTAATGTTTATTTTTGACAGCGCAGACACGTGCACAAGCAGGGGAGGGGCAGAGAGAGGAAGACAGAGGATCCAAAGCAGGCTCTATGCTGTCAATAGAGAGCCCAATGCGGGACTCCAACTCAAACTTTGAGATCATGACCTGAGCTGAAGTTGGACGCTTACCTGACTAAGCCACTCAGGCACCCCAGGACTCATTCTTAACTGATTTATTAATTCTGAAGACTTAACCCTCAGCAGTAGATACTTTTTAAAAGTAAGTCTCAAAGCTTTATCTTGCTGGAAAAACCATTTCATTAATACTAAAACAAAGAGCTGTTATTGAGGACTGTTTCCTTTACTCAAGGGACATACACTGCACCACAGACACATTCTTCCCCAGAGCACACAATTTTAGAAATACACAATCTTGGAAAAAACCCCATATACAGTAAGAGGGGGGAAAATTCTATTTAAGGAGGAATCAGGTCACATATGTATTTTTTAAGCACCCAAAAGTATTTTATGGAAGGCATCTAAACGCGAAAAAGATGGATTACAAATACAAGCTCTGCTCTCAAGTCTGGAACATCAAAGACACCAGCAATCAAGTTAAAACGTGACAAATGCCATCTGAAAAAACAGCTGACACTTATTTTTCTTAAAGCCACCCAGCAGATACCTCAATCCATTCGCACAGAATGTGTTTGGTATTAATAGCACCAGACGCACCGAGGAGGAGAAAATACCCAACAGGGGTGACTGACTTCCTGGATAAAATAATTTCGTGTTGGAATTAGACAGATGGACTGTCTTTTCACAGGTGGAGGACCTAGACGACCATTCCTTAACAAAAATCAATTAAACATGTGGCCTGGGCATCTGCTGACAGAAGGCTTCATCTACCCTTCTATGCAGTGTGATTAAGAAACGTAGCCAGGTAGGGGCGCGTGGGTGGCTCAGTCTATGAAAGGTCCACTTCCGCTCAGGTCAAGGTCTCATGCTTCGTGAGTTCGAGCCCAGCGTCAGGCTCTAAGCCGACACTACAGGGCCTGCTTGGGATTCTCTCTCTCTTTCTCTGCCCCTCCCCTGCTCATGCTCTCTCTCAAAATAAATAAATAACCAAAATTTTTTTTAAAAAAATAAATAAATAAAAAGAAAAGATACCCAGGTAAAAGCACAGTACCTGCCCTCAAAAAAGGCTTCACTCTAGTCCTGGAGACCAAGAGAAGCATATCCTTGAAGGCAAGATTAAGGAAGGGGCGCGCCGCCCCCACCCCAACGGTAGGGGTGGGGGGAGTCTCCGGAGAGGCCAAAGTGTCTCTGCGGGTGCTCTCTACCGCAGTGGAAGCGCCTTCCAAGCACACACCGGCGGCCACTGGGTGCTGGGGGTCTGCCAAGACCTGCAAACAGGGCGCCACAGGCCTGAGACGCGGGAGGCGGGAGAGGCCCGAGCGGTCAACCGCTTCAGTCCGCCAGACCCTTCACCGAGGCCCCCGCATCCACCAGCACCCGGGAGCAGGAAGCTACGGGAACAAGCAAAAGGTTTCGCGGTCTCTTGCAAGCACACCTAAGGCGACCCTTCCTCGGAGACGGGCCCCTCCTCCCCCGGGTGGCCACCACTCGCTCTGCCCTGGGGCTGGCGGGCGTCCCCGCGGCTGAGGAGGGCAGCCGCGTACTACCGCGGCAGCACCTCGCGGGTCAGGGGTCTGTGTGCTCGGGGCACGCAGAGGCTGGACGCGGGGCGGGCGGGGCGGACGGGGCGAGCGGAAGTGTGCCGCTTCCTTCCGGCCGGCGCCGCACGAGACTGGGCGGGGCGCCCCTGGAGAGGGCGGGGACTTGAGCTGACGGACGGCTCCCGGGACCTATGGGCGCGCCCGCGGCGGCCCGGCCTCCCTGGCGCGCCCCTTCCTCGGGGCCGCGGACGCCCCCCAGTCCCCCATTTCTCTGGTGTCGCGCAAAGCTCCGTCGCTGCACGGTGGCCGCTGCTTGGTCCTCCCTGTCCTCACGGTGCGTCGCGGGCGGTTGCGCGGCCCTCGGCACCCCCGGCCGGCCGGCCTCTTTCCCCGCCCGGAGCTGCGCCCCAGGACGGCTGAGGCCGCAGGTCTGTGACTGCGTGTCGGGCCGCGGGCGGAGCGAGGGGTCGCGCGGGTGCGAGGCTTCGGCGGCTGGTCGGGCTGCGCCCTGCGTTGCGATGTTTCGCCGAATCAGCCGCAACGACCGGGAGCCTGCCGGTCGCCCCGCCGCGTCGTGCAGTCGGGGGGCGCGGCCCGGGCCCCGCGGCGCCCTGGGGCGCCAGGGTGGGGGACGCGGCGCTCGCGGGTCCGCTCGAACTGCGGGGCGCGGGGCGGCAGGTCGGGAGTGAGGAAGTTTGCCGAGGGCGGGGCGGGGCGGCGCTCGCGGGCCACTTCGGGCTCCTGCCGCGCGGGCGGAGGGAGGGCCTGGTTGGTGCTGGCCTCCGCGGCCGCGCGGCTCTGCCGAGCTGGAGCAAGTGTCTGAACTTGGGCGGCCGCTGCCGGCCCCTCGGTGTCCGGTGGGGACACTCGGCGCTGTGAGGCTGGGGTGCGGCGGGAAGCTGAGTGTCGTGCCCTGCAGTGCCCGGTCGCTCTGTGCGTGCTGGTCCTTCCGAGTAGAGGACGAGCATCGCTCTCACTTCCCTTTTCCAACGTCGAAGATGGCATTCCCTTTCATTATGGGGAAACTTTTGTTTCCCCAGTTGGTGCGATTGTCACATTGCCCGACACAGAGTTGGCGCGGAAATGTTTGTTGCCCTTCTGTCCTGACTTGTTAGAGTGTATCCGATGTGGGATATTTACAACTCCTTCCCGAGCCCTTAGGAGGACGTGATTCTTGGCTAAGAATCCAAGTTATCCAGTTGGGGGATAAGTCCACCTAATGAATGCAGTACGGCTTTGCCTAACACTCCTTTTTCCTGCCTCGCTGCTCCAGATTCATTTTCGGTGCTTGTACTTAACTGTTTTTGTGTCTCACATTTTTTTTTTTTTTTATGAATGAATGAATAAATTGTATAATGTTGGTTGGTTGGATTGTGCTTTCTCTAGAGCAAGTTGGTTATTAATAAACTGCCCAAACAATCGTGTCCGGTAACTGGTCATATTTAATAGTAATTAGTAAAACGCTGTTCATTATTCAGAGGAGTGAAGCAAGATGTTCCTGGGGACCGTCGCCAGCTTACTCACTGCCACCACTCCCTCGCCTCCCACTCACTGCTTCCAAACCAGGCTCCTGCACCCTGCCTTTACTCCCACTGTTGCTCCCTGGGATAGCAGCTGCCCTGATTGGCACACCCCCGCTGCCATCACCACTCAGGCATATTCGTAAAGTTTCCAGTGTGAATTGTTTTAAAGAACGTCGGTATTAAAATTCAGATACCTAAGACGAAACAGTATTTCACTTCTTCAGAATCAGGCTATCAACAGATTTACTACCAAATAGTATGGAACTGTGGAACATAATATAAAACTGCATAATTATGTGACCAATTGCGTGGTAACTGCAGTGGCTCAGGATGGAGAAAGATTAGCAGTGGCTGGCACAACCGAGAGAGGAAGGTTTCTTGCAGGAAGGGCAGGGGCTTGTCTGGGATGCTTACCTGTATTCTTAACTCTTAATAATAGGTTTTAAGTAAATATTTGCGTTGTGCCTTGACAGTAGCTTTGAAGGCTGGTAAAGATTTGATGGGAAAGTGGGGAGGGCATGCTAAGCCAGGGACAAGGCTCCAAGTCACAGAGGAGCAAAGCGTGTGTTGGGGAGACGGTACTGGCGTATGGATGGGCGGTTTACTTTTATGTTGTTTGTAGGAGTGGTTGGAAGAACAATGCACGTAAGTCTTTGACACCATGATATCCATCAGGCAAAGAAAAGGAGTAAAACCCACGGAAGTTCCTGAGGATTATGCAGCGCAAGAAGCAAATGTGAAGTTGGAAAATAAATTGCCATCTGGTAGGTGACTTAATTAAAGCAGCATTTTGGATTGCTATTATTTCTTCAATATTAAAATATCACTCTCCAATAGGGTACAGATTTGGTGAGCTCTAACATTTGAGGAAACTTGTTCTAATACCCTGATGTTTTAGTTTGACAGATGATTTGACTGCAGTTTGATGATCCTGGTTTCACAGTTGTGACCAGATAAAAGGTCACAGAGCTCTGATTGGAACCCCTTGTTTGTCAGCTGTCTGTGCAGTGGGTTCTGGTTTTGCCAATCTTTGACTTTCTAAAGTAATGCTTTCCCCCATGCTTCAGATTTTAGTATGTTTCTAATTTTTCTGGTTTGTGTATGCTGTTCACTCTAGACAGCATTAGCTTGGGTGACTTTCTCATTTCGTTAAGGTATTGAAAGATGAATCAAACATTTTTTTATTCCTTGTTTGAATTCCTGACATTTTCTCCTTTGGTTTGTGAGGGAGCGGTGGTCAGAACTTGGTTAAGTTGTTTACGTAATGCTGAAGATTCTTGCTAAGTGTACATCAAATGACCTTAATTATGAACTTCCCCAGTCCAGAGTTGCTTTCTTAACTAAGCATGGTCAAGGATTTTTAAAAATAAGCATGAAAAATTCCTTGTCTCTTCACCATTTTGGATATCTGACAGAATTCATATTAACTCAGCCATGTTAATTCTTATCAGCCAGAGCTAGTAATTTGGGGGGAGCAGTTTTATAAACTAAATCTGTACTGAGAAGTCAAACCATTCAACCATCCAATAAATAAGCAGTTTTGGACAAGATAGAGTACTTTCTGAAGACTTACACAATGTAACTTCACGTTTGCCTTTTTATTTTTATACGCTTATTTATTTTGAAAGAGAGAATCTCAAGCATTCTCTGCACTGTCAGCGTAGAACCTGACATGGGCCTCGGTCCCATGAACCGTGAGATCATGACCTGAGCCGAAATCAAGAGTCAGACACTTAACCAACTGTGCCACCCAGGTGCTCCCAAGTTTGCTTTTTTTTTAAATTAAAACATAACTTTGAGGATTCTTCATTTTACTGAGGCAATATTTATTCATGTCAGAGAAAAAAACCCTGAAAACTAAAGAAAAGCAAAAAAAAAAAAAAAAAAAAAAAGGAAAGAAAGAAAGTATTCCCACAAACAAACCCATCCTGAGACTGTCATCCATGAAACTTGATGTTGCTGTGGAAATGGTGTTCTTGCCTAGGCACACCTTCAAGCAGTCACGTGGTTTTACAACGTTGGGATCCTGGCTGTTTTGTAATTTGCTACATTTCTTTTATTATGTTCCAGTCATGTCACAAGTCAGTCAATGTGTTTTAAAAATGTTACTGGTGTAGTGGCTGTGTGGCTATAGCATAACTGATTTAAGAATTCCTGGTTGAATGAGTGGTTTTAAACCTTTCACTTATACGAACAGAACTAGAGTAAATGTTCTTGTGGCCAAATGTTTGTTTAAACTTTATTTGGGGTTATATGCCAAGATTTGGAATTGCTGGTCAAATGGTATGCTTGTTTTGGTAGCTTTTCCAACTTCCTGCCCTCTCGTGTTCCAGAGAGCTGCCACGTTATTCTCCTACTAGCAGTGTTTGAAAACTACTCATTTTGTACCCTTGTTAAAACAGCGTTAACATTTTTAAGCTGTCAAATTGACCAGCATCTAAAAAATTGTAGCGCATTGTTTTGATTTGCATTTCTTTAATACTAATGAATGTGAATATTTTTTGTCTGTCTGTTGGCCCTTTTTTTTTTTTTCTGTGCATTGCCTGTTTGTCTCTGTAATCTCTTTCCAACTGAAATATTTAGTTTTTTAATCCTGAAGGTGTTCATCCCATATTGAGGATACTTAAGCTTTCTTATACGTGCCATGAATATTTTTTTCCTAGTTTGTGTCCTTTAACTTGGATGTTTTTCTCCCGATGGGTTGTTGAATTTTAAGTAGTCAAGCTTTTTGGTAGCTTTTAATGAATAAATCACAAATTATACATAGATCATCTGAAAGATTTTCTATATCCTAGACCTGCACCCCACTTAACTCCTCCATTTGACAAACTTCACAGTTGAACTACAGTTACTAAACTATTCCAAACACAGACTGTAGGTACTAAGATAACTAAGGTAATGAATAAGCTCACGATTTCTGCCAAAATGGACAAGTGAGCAATTAGATACCGTCGGGTAAAAACTGTAATGAAGTATGAAAACAGGTCTCCGGAGTCACAGAAAGGAGTTCCTAACTGTGTCCTGGGAATAGAAGCTTTGCCAGTGACAGGCAGTTGGAACTTAGCATACTTGATAGTCTGAAGTGGCACTATTAAATTCTACGTTGTTTATTGACTTAGTTATTTATTTTTTCTAAAAGGTGGTACCAGTAGAAGATTATGGAAGCTTCTGTCATTTATGGTTGGTGGAACCATTGCCCTTTGCATTGGACTTCTTACATCTGTCTACCTGGCCACTTTACATGAAAACGACTTATGGTTTTCTAATATTAAGGTATGGCATCCTATTACTGTTGTATGATTTACTCATCAGTATCTCCAGTAGTTAAGTGTGTAGATGAAGGACCAAGATAATACTGCTTTGCTGTAAAGAATCTAACCTCTTAAAAGGTTTGCCTATAGCGTAGACTTTGTTATTTAAAATAACATCAGAATGTTTGTCATCAGTGAGTTTTTTCATTTCATGAACTTGCTCTAGTTATGGGACAGTAACTCTAAACCGGTATTTTCCCACTGTACGTTGTGAAATTGGTGCAGTAAATCATGAGTAATGTTCATAATTAAAATAAGATGCAAGAGGATATTATCATATACACTAGGGTTGAGAATTGTTTGTGTAACTGTTAATTATATGTATGTATGTACAAGCTGGGTCACAGTATGTATATATATATATTTTTTCTGTTGGGCACAGTAAAAAAATCAAAAGCCAGTCCTCTAAACCATGGAGTGTTAATCTGGCTCCATAGATGACCTCAGTGTGTTCCTACCTTTCTAATTGTACATGCAGTGGTTAGAGGGTCGGGGAACCATTATTTTCATCACATTCTCAGGAGGGTCTGTGACTTCTTAAACACCAATTTCCTTGTTCTCTTTTTTTCTCTTTTTAAACATTTCTAGATGTCTTTTAATTTGCCATTGTTTTCAAAACAAGCATATCACTTAAGCAAGGAAACTTTTATATCACCAGGGGTTTTCAATCCAAATATACTTTGTTTTTTTATCCCAAGCGTCATCATCTTTGACCCTGTTTACTATTGTGGCTTCTAATGACTAGTTGTTATAAAGGTAAAATTCACTATCAAAGGTCAAATATTTATAGGTGAATATTCAAAAGAATCAATGCAGAATCTAAAACAGTTCTCGGGGTACCTGGGTGGCTCAGTCAGTTAAGCATCTGACTCTTAATTTCGGCTCAGGTCATGATCTCATAGTTCATGAAATCGTTTTCTGTCTCAGGCTTTGCACTGACAGCATAGAGTCTACTTGGGATTCTCTCTCTCTCTCTCTCTCTCTCTCTCTCTCTCTCTCAAAATAAATAAACGTTACAAAAAATTTTAATAAAAAAAGTAAAACGGTTCTCAAAGAGAGTTTTCCAAAATATTTTGAACTTTGGTTCCATTACTGAAATGAGTCTCCAAAGGGGACTACTTTAGGGGCGCCTGGGTGGCTCAGTCACTTAAGCATCTGACTTCGGCTCAGGTCATGATCTCACTCATGGGTTCGGGCCCCATGTCAGGCTCTGCGCTGATGGCTCGGATCCTGGAACCTGCTTCGGATTCTGTGTCTCCCTCTCTCTCTGCCCCTCCCCTGCTCATGCTCTGTCTCTCTCTCACTCAAAATAAATACTAAAAAATTTAAAAAAAAGAACAAAAACAAAGAGAAGTACGTTGAATGACAAATTTAATTTATACAGATAACTTATAGTATGTTTATTTTAAAAACCTGTCCTTCTTACTCTATAGGTGTAGCATGTATCTATGTATATATTTTTATACAAAAATATCATGGTACAGGGGCGCCTGGGTGGCGCAGTCGGTTAAGCGTCCGACTTCAGCCAGGTCACGATCTCGCGGTCCGTGAGTTCGAGCCCCGCGTCAGGCTCTGGGCTGATGGCTCGGAGCCTGGAGCCTGTTTCCGATTCTGTGTCTCCCTCTCTCTCTGCCCCTCCCCCGTTCATGCTCTGTCTCTCTCTGTCCCAAAAATAAATAAACATTGAAAAAAAAAAAATATCATGGTACAAAGAATAATCCTTATCTTTCAGGAACAGTGGGTAGTTTTTCTTGTCAAGAAAAATTTCACTCACCTATATCTCTTTATTTTTTTTATTTGTTTTTTTTTTTAATGTTTATTTATTTATTTTAAGAGAGAGAGCATGCGCTAGCCAGGGAGAGGCAGAGGGGGAGAGAGAGAGAGAGAGAGAGAGAGAGAGAGAGAATCCGAAGCACATTCGATGCTCAAAGCCTAAGCCGAAATCAAGAGTTAGACTCTTAACCAACTGAGCCACCCAGGCGTCCCTCACCTATATCTCTTTAATACAGTGCTTATAAACAGATTCCCTATAACTAAACAATCTTATACTTATTTATCAACACCAACATTTTGAATAAAGACTGAAATATCCCTGTGTGGGCATATAGCTAAAATTAAATGTTAGTAACTGTGTAGTAAGTAAGGAGAAGATGCTAAAACAGGTCACATGGCTTAATTTCAAATTGTAATTTTAGCTCTTTAAAGTTTTTAGGTGGCCTTGCTAGTAACCTTAAATAGATACACCCCATCATCAAGAAACCTGAGCACCCTTGATTTTCCTTTTTATTCTCACCAGGTTAAAGAAGTCATTATACTTTTACCTAGTGTTTATGGAGCACCCCTTCTGTGGGTAGAATTTATTGAAACACTATGGGGAACATGGAAAGAATAACAGAGACTAATGAATTTGCCAGCAGGTTTTCCAGTGTAATACACTGATCCAGTAAATACATATTAAGCACCTATAGTATACCTGCAGGGACTGCGTTCGGTTGTAGCGATACCTCCAACTGCAACAAGGCCCCTGCCTGCAGGGAGTTCACACCCTTGAGGGTACAGGCAAGTTGGCAGACATTACAGCCCATCCCAAATCAATACCTTGCTGGGGAAAGACATTGCGGGAGCACAGAGGAGGGGTAGCCTAACCCAATTTTGGACGCTCAGGGAAGGTTTTCTGGAAGAAGTGATGGTTAAGGAGACCTGAAGGACGAGAAAGGTTAACCAGTCAAATTGGGGAGGAGAAGTCAATGTCATAGGGAAGGGACATGTGCAGGAACTTTGAGAGGCAAGAACGTTGAGAGCGTTGAAGGTGTTGGCAGTAGTCAGCCTGACTGGAGAACAGATGGGAAGAGAGAATGTACAGGGGTGATAAACCGAGGTCATGAAGGTACAGCAGTGTCATTGTCTTGGCGTGCTAGAAAGATGGCTCAGGCTGCAGCGTGGAGAGTGGACCTGAGGAGGACAGCACTGCGGGAAGAGGCAACCACCAAGAAAATCCAATTCAGTGGATTCGGTAATACCTGGATGTCAGTAAACGCACGTCATCTGTGCACCAGACACAGATCTAGGCCCTGAGAAAACAGCCTTTGAATTCTGTTCAGAGGAGGGAAGAAACAGGAACCAACAAGAAATAAGTCCTATGGTAGAAACCAAACAGGGTAGTGACATAGTTATGGGGAGGGAAAGCAGACCATTTTGAAGACCAGACATACATCAACACTTAAATCCTAAGAAGAACAGCCAAGCTAAGATCTGTGAAAACGTCCTAAGCAGAGGGAACAACAACCAGAAAAGCCGCAAGGTAGGACAGAACTCGTCCAGCCCGAGTATCAGAGAGAAGGCACGTGTGGCCAGAACTCTAGGAGCACAAGGAGAACAGGACCAGAGAGGAAAAGACCAGATCATGCTGGAGAGAAGTGGATGAACTCAGAGTTTATTAGAAGGTGGATTTAGAAGGATCTATCGATTCATCATTTGTGTGGATGGTGATTGGGAGGAAGGAATCATCAGTGGTGATCTAGTTTCTCCCATTAGCAGCTGAATAGTTGGATGGACATACTATTCACTGTGATGCTGAACCCTGTTGGGAGGAACAGGTCTGGGCAGTGGAGTAACGTCTGACACCAGCTACCCAGAGTTAAGCCAGACTTGACAGGCTAAGAGCACAGCCCACTACAACACCGCCCTCACTTCAGATACCAGTCACAAGTTTGGGGATCCTCAGGCCACCTGACTTCTGACCATAAGCAGGCTATAAATTTTGGGATACCCACTATCCCCTCAGGTTCAGTAATTCACTAGAATGACTCACAGAACTCAGGAAAGCGTTACACATATGATGATAGCTTTAATACAACAATGGGATACAAATCAGAATCAGTGAAAGGCAGAGACTCATTGAAAGTCGGTGGTGGGGGGAGGTCCCTAAATTCAGACTTTCCATTGTCCTTTCCTTGTGGAGTCAGGACATGTTGTTCTCCTGGCACGTCAGTGTATGACAGTGTGTTGACTATTGTCAACCAAGAAAGCTCACCTGGGCTCTGGTGTCCAGAGTTTTTACTGGAGTTTTATTATGTAGGTGTGATTGATTGAACCATTTGGCCACAATGTTGAATTCAATCTCCAGCTCCCTCTCCTCCCCAGAGGTTGGGTCGGTGTCAGCTGGCTCCAAGCCCCAACCCTCTGATCACACATTTCTGGTCTTTCTGGCTTGGCCAGCCCCCATCCTGAGTCATCTCCTTAGAACACGCTATCAGAGGTGGTCCTGAGGAACCAACTGTGAATGACAAAGATGCTGTTATCACTTGGGAAATTCAAGGATTTATTGGCTACCTCCCAAGAACCAGGGACAAAGGCCAGCCAAATTCTTTAGAGGGGACGGTGAGACAGCAAATGATAATCCATGTTTGGATACGTTATGAGTCACTTTCGAAACAGTCCAAGGAGGGAGATATGGAGTAAAGGGAGCTGGATCCACGGATGTGGAGGCAGGAGTTCCATCTGTGTTGGAAATGGACATTTTCATATTACCAGCTTATAGACGTGTGGGCAAGATTGTTGGAGGAGTGTGCAGAGTGAGAAAGAGACCCTAGGCTAGTTTCTTGTCTCTGCCTCAGATACCATCTGGAAGAAGCTATAAAACAGGAACGTACTCGAATCTAACAGGTTTCTTCCCACCGACACCTCCATCCCCTGAAATGTACAGTTGAGCTCAGTCTTATTGCATCTTCTTCTCTTTATTCAAGCAATGGCTTATAGCACAGACTTGTTTTCTCTGCATCACAAGAGGAATCCTCAGATGTTTGGACTGTTTCGCAAACCTGATGGTACCTCTGTGTGGGCATTTGGCTTGTTTTTCATCTTCGATCACGTAGACCCAGTGCTGTCCAGTGGAACTCTGTGCAGTGAAGGAAATGATCTTTTTCCACACTGTTCAGTACAGTGGCCACGAGCCAAATGGAG